TAGGAAGTTTCAACAATTGGTTTGCAGGTAGATTTAGAATTTATTCACTGGCTCATATTCTACACAATGTAATGTAATTTGATAGAGTAGAGGCTACTACAAAGAATATTATTACCTTCCTAGAGCTCACATTTTACTTTCAAAAATTTGTTATAAAATGTTATAAATAAAATGGAAAACTACTTGACATCCCTAATAGCAGGGTACCTTTCTATATCGTTATAAAAAACCAATGACTCCCTACCTTTGGCTAGCTACATTAATAAATTAGGAAGGTAGACAGTTTATTATGACGTGATCGCAGGCTTCTGCTGAAAATTTATATAATTTAGCTTACAAATATGCCCATAAAAATAACATTACAATGTAATAAGTATTCATGTAAATAAATGTCACTGTGAATGTTCTCTTGAATGACAACAAATAAAAAGTGGTACAGCCCCAGATGCTTACTTAAATTGTCCCCAAAGGGATGAATAGGTCATTGGGTAATTGTCACGGTTACTAATACACTTTTTTTTTCCACAAAAAATATTCATAGCTTTATTCATATAAGCCAAAAATTGGAAACAAGCCTAGGTGTTTATAACAGAGCAATCCACTGTAGTGTATTCATACAATGGATCCATATAACTCTATTCAATGTTAAAAGGAAAGAAGTGTTAATGTTTACAACAACATGCATTCATCTCTAAAGCATTAAACTTGGTAATAAAATTCTAGAAAAGATTAAATTTACCAATAGTGAACAAATATCCAACTTGAGATAGGACAGTTTAACTGAGAAATTTTAACTGAAAGGAGAGGAATTTCTAGGTAAACAGTAACATTACATAGGAGTATTTATTTCACAGATGTGTATGAATTTTTTTCCAAAATTTTTTGAATGCTGTGCTTAAGATTTGTATATTAAGCAATATATAAATTTTCCTCAAAAATACTTAAGCCATAAATATTGAACTCTGGTTAATTTTATACATGTTGAGGTATTTTGAGGAAATTTACTGATTCTTCCATTTATTTTGAAATGCATCTAATAAAATGAATTGATAGATGATACAAGAATGAATAGAGGTACAGATGGGATAAAGGAAAATGCTGACTTTAACATCTCTGTGGCATGTTGTGGTAGACTGGGTGATGTGTAATCACAGATGCATCCATCATAATCTCAGGAGCCTAGAAATGTTATTTTATGTGACAAAGAGATTTTGCAGATGGGATTAAGAATCTTGAGCTAGGAAGATTATTCCAGATTATCAAGGTGAATACAATGCAATCACAGGGCCCTTAACAATGGTGGCAGGGGTGGGCATTGTGGCACAGTAGGGTAAGCTGCCACTTGGGAAGCCCAAATACCATATCAGAGTGCTTTGGCCTCTGACAACCAGGTGGGAGACCCAGATGAAGTTCTTGGCTCCTAGCTCTGGCTTGGCCCAGCCCAGGCTGATGCCTCTCCCTTTCCCCTCTCCCTCTCCTTTTCAAGTAGATGCAAATAATAAGTAAGTAAATTTTTTTTTAAAGATGGAGGCAGGAAGGCCAGAAGCAGCAAAGGCCATATGACCAACAAGACAGAGATGCTGATAAGGTGTTCCCAAACCAAATCATATCACATCCTATGGGAACTGGGAAAGACATCAGATTCTCCCCGTTAAGCTTCCAGAAAGCACATATTCTGATAATCCCTTGATTTTAGCCTTAAGTGACTCATTTCAGACGTCCATCCACCAGAAAAGATCAGTAATACATTTGTGTTCTTATAACACAGGTGAGGCTCAGGTGGTGGGCCCTTGCCACCTGCATGGGAGACCTGGATTGAGTTCTTGGATCCCAGCTTCAGCTTGGCCAAGTCTCAGCCAGGATAGCCATTTGGGATCTCTCTCTCTCTCTCTCTCTCATAAGTAAATATATAAATTTAATTTTTTTCCATTTTGTTTTTTTTTCATGTTTTTTTTATTTTTTTAACTTTTATTTAGTAAATATAAATTTCCAAAGTACAGTGTATGTATTACAATGGCTTCCCCCCCATAACTTCCCTCCCACTCGCACCCCTCCCATCTCCCGCTCCCTCTCCCATTCCATTCACATCAAGATTCATTTTCAATTCTTTTTATATACAGAAGATCGATTTAGTATATATTAAGTAAAGATTTCATCAGTTTGCACCACACAGAAACACAGAGTGTAAAATACTGTTTCAGTACTAGTTATAGCATTACTTCACATTGGACAACACATTAAGGACAGATCCCACATGACAAGTAAGTACACAGTGACTCCTGTTGTTGACTTAACAATTTGACACTCTTGTTTATGGCGTCAGTAACCTCCCTAGGCTCTAGTCATGAGTTGCCAAGGCTATGGAAGCCTTTTGAGTTTGCTGAATTCGATCTTATTCCGACAGGGTCTTAGTCAAAGTGGAAGTTCCCTCCTCCCTTCAGAGAAAGGTACCTCCTTCTTCGATGGCCCCATTCTTTCCACTGGGATCTCACTCGAAGAGATCTTTCATTTAGGTCTTCTTTTTTTTTTTTTTCCCAGAGTGTCTTGGCTTTCCATGCCTAAAATACTCTCATGGGCTCTTCAGCCAGATCCAAATGCTTTTAGGGCTGATTCTGAGGCCAGAGTGCTGTTTAGGACATCTGCCATTCTATGAGTCTGCTGTGTATCCTGCTTCCCATGTTGGATCATTCTCTCCCTTTTTGATTCTATCAGTTAGTATTAGCAGACGCTAGTCTTGTTTGTGTGATCCCTTTGACTCTTAGACCTATCAGTGTGATCAATTGTGAACTGAAATTGATCACTTGGACTAGTGAGATGGCATTAGTACATGCCACCTTGATGGGATTGTATTGGAATCCCGTGGCACATTTCTAACTCCACCATTTAGGGCAAGTCTGATTGAGCATGCCCCAAATTGAACATCTCCTCCCTCTCTTATTCCCACTCTTACATTTAACAGGGATCACTTTTCAATTAAAATTTAAACACCTAAGAATAATTGTGTGTTAATTACAGAGTTCAACCAATAGTGCTAGAACAAAAAAAATACTAAAATGGATAAAGTATTACATTGTACATCAACAGTCCGGATAAGAGCTGATCAATTCACTGTTTCTCATAGTATCCATTTCACTTCAACAGGTTATCTCTATGGACTGATGCACTTTTAACACTGAGATTATACTAAGGTAAAAGGGTACCATCCATCTACAGAACTCCTATCCATCCTAATCTGCAGCAGTAACACTCATGCAGCTTTGCATTTAAACAGATTGCTGATTTCTCTTAAAAAGGAAAAAACTTTAAAGAAGATAAATTTAAATCCATATATTATATGCAAAAACTTACAGAGATAATTTAGACTCTGAAAAAATATTAACTGCATCCAGAGAGGATTTAATTTTGTTCCTATTGGGCACTTAGGCTAAGGGCAGATCTCCTATATCCAGCCAAGGCTAGAAATCATCTAAATTTGGCCTTTGATCTTTTGAGAACAGGTCTTTTCTAGGATTGCTGAAATTCTGCTCAGCTTCTCAGCCTCTTAGCCATTTTACATCCACAAGCCCCATGCTGGGCTCCCTTCTGCTATGGTTTGTACATTCATTTGGGTGTCTCCCAGAGACTTGTGTATTAAAGGTTTGATCCCCAAAGTCTTATGTTAATGGTACTAACATAGCACAAACTACCACAGTGGGGCCTATGGGAAGTGATTAGGTTGTTGGGGGTAGGCCCATGATCCATTTATGATGTGTTTATAATAAGAGACAGACATGGACATGAGCACTCCCTCTTGCAATGCATGCTGGGAGCCTACCTCAGGATTCCACCTGCAAGAACACCCTCACCTGATACCCAATCAATAGCACTTCCCAATCTTGAACTGTGAACCTCCAGAACAATGAGCCAAAATCAACCACTCCTTTTTTAATTCAGCTTCTCTAGGTATTATGTTATAGTGATGAACAGCTGACTGAAATACCACCCCTGGCTTCCCTCTTCTTCTGCATCTTTGATCTATAAATTCTCCCTGCCTCAGTAAGCTCCCCAGTGCCTTCAAACAGGTGTTTAGTCTACATTTGATTTGTCTGTCTGCATTATTCTCAGGACTGAATCAACTTAACAGAAAGAAGCTCCTTTATCTACTTCGACTATTGCTGTCACTACTCCTCTTTCTAGTTAATTATCTTGGATTGATCCTCAGTAGCACAATATGGTACAATACCTCAATATCCCCCTCTTCCTTCTTTGTTTATTCTACACATGTAGGAATGTCTATCAGAATCAGACTCTACTGCCACTCGGAAGCCCTGGGACGGTTTAGGTTACGGTTATCTGTGCAACTTTCTCCCTGATCTCCCTGCCACCAGGATCTCCCCATTCCAATCTTGAGAAGGATTGTGTAACAACTTTGGGAAAGAGTAGAACAGGATTTGCTTTTTAGCCTCTTATCCTAAATGCCTGTTAGGAAACATATGTTAACACTATGGTACAGGAAGTCGTGACATCCATGTGTCCTCCCAATGGAGACTGTCCACTTTCAGCTTCGACCCAATCAGGAAGTCACTCCTGCCCCCACTGAGGATTGACCAGAACTCCACTCGTCTTGGGAGCAGAATCAAAAGCAGTTGGCCTGACAACATCAGCAAATATTGACTAAAGGAGGGACAGGCAAGGGCAAAAACAGCGAGCATAGGCTGAGTTCAGAGCCAGGAGCCAAGAACTTAATCCGCATCTCCCACACAGGCAGGAACTCCATTACTTGAGTCATCACCTCTGCCTCCCAGAGTCTCCATCAGCAGGAGGCTGGAGTCACAAGCCAGTGCTAGACCTCAAACCCAGGTACTCTAATGTGGGATGCAGGTATTAATCACAGGCATCTTAGCCATTAGACCATACACCAGTCCCCACTTTTTTTTTAGCATAACATGTTGCCTATTTTTCTACCAAGAAAATGAACAAAATATTTTTAAATCTCATATTACTTATAAAAAACTTTTTACCTAAAATTCTCATATTCTTCTGCTTGTCTCTTCCATGGGCAGCTTTGTATATTTGTGATAATCCGGAGGTAGTCATCCTCTGAATACCTGAAAGTTAAATATCAATGAAATTAGAAAATAAATATCTCATGCAAAAGTCTTCTTAGAGGACATGTTTTTATAATCTATTCACTTTAGTCCTCTATAGTGTTCTTAAAATAAGAAAATGCATTCCTTTTAAAACATCTAAAAAGATACAATATGCAAATAATTATGATGGTGGTTAGAAATGTGTAAGTTGCACATATCATAAGCCAAGTATAATATTAAAAAATATGACAGTGCACCAGCCCATATATAAATATACAAACATTATAGATGTTTATTATAACTATGTGATTAATCTTTGATTTTTTGATAGATTTACCTAGGTGTGTATGGATAAAATTTTCCCAAAATAATCATCATAAGCCTTAATTTCTAATAGCACATTCAAAAACCAGATTAAACAAATGAGGAGAGGTGTATCTTGGTATAAAAGCCTATAGACATAGTTTGATCCCAGGCCCCAAAAGTTCTCCCTCTATCTGAAATTCTATCATTAAATGTTCATTCTTTTAGGCTCAGAATACTCTTCAGTTTTCTAAAGGTTCTCATCTAAAAGACAAACATCCTTTTAATTGAGGAAACCCTTAAAGTGTCTTTCAATTAAAGCTTAGGGAGTCGTTGCCACTGGAGATCAAAGCTCTGGCACAGTGAGGTGGAAGACATGTTGGTGAGGAGGCAGGAAAGAGGGAAACCAGTAAAGAGCCTTGTCTAGGAAAATTACTGCCCCATCCAGATTAAGAAACCCAATCTCCTCCAAAATCTGTCACTAAAAGGAAGTGCTTCTTATCGGTGGGGACTGTAGTCAACCAAGCAGCTCCTGTGCCCCTGAAATGTACCTTCCTCTTGGGCTTCTCTTCGTTCAGTGATGCTGCCAACATGAATCAAAAACACTTTCCCTTGCTTCCCAGTGACCCAGCTGAGAAAAGATGAAAATCTCAAAAGACTTTATTAAATATTAAAGGAGAAGCAAAGCAAAGTTACCATGGGAAGGATTAAAAATAGTTTCACAGCACATAAGCTTCCATCTCTAACAGACTCACATCACTTCCATAGGTCCCAGGACTTATTTTAATAGACTATCTATCTGGGGCTATCTATGCTCTGATCCCAAAGCCTTGTCTAGATGTGAAATTCGTTTAGCTGGAGTGAATATTTCCTATCTCCACAGGATGGAAAGACACCAGAGACCCTCTGCAAATCATCATTAAACCCAGAAAGAAGAAATATACATTCAACAGCTGACTCAAGACCTCTCCTTAGGAGAGACATAGCACCATGACTAGTCTCTCCTGTCAAGCCTTGTCTACCACCAAGGCATTGCTTTCAATCATTGGATAATATTGAAAATGGGACAATTAGAGCACTATGTATACAAGGTCCCTGAGGCAAAGTAATGGAATAACCATCTTCTTACATATCTCAGTGAAAGAGAAAACGGAAAGGGAGGGGCCAACTACAAATATCGACTAAAATAATGAGAACTGTATTTTAAGACATCAAGATAAAAATAATATGAAGCTACATTAAGTGGAAACTTATCATCCTGTCATGAAATTAAACATGCCAAAGTTTAAACTTTTATTTAATGTGATTTATCAGATGAAAAGTAAATTCTCATGATGTATGGCTAAGATAATCAGACTACTGAACTTGAAAACACAGCAACAGAACCTATAGAAAATGTAATATAAAGAAAAAAAGACCAAATGAAAAATAGAGAATCAGTTAGCTGTGAGATAACTCCACATGACCTAATATATGTACAATTATAGTGCCAGTAAGTGAGAGGAGATAGAAACAATTTCAAGAAAATTTTTCCAAATTTAATATAAACTATATATTCACAGATCCAAGAAGACTGGCAGGCTCAAAGCAGAAGAAACATGAAGAAACTGAGTCACATATAAAATGTCTTCAAACCAATGATAAAGAGAAAAATCTCAAAAGGGAAAAATCCATTATAAAGTAAAATATAATCATAAAAATAATCAAGGAGAAGGCAGAAAAAAGGAAAAAAGAAAACAGAACAGGAAAATAGAAAACAAATAAAATGATGATATATTTAAATGCAATAATATGAATAATCACATTAAATATAAGTGATCTAAATATACATATTGGCCGGCGCCGTGGCTCACTAGGCTAATCCTCCGCCTTGCGGCACCGGCACACCGGGTTCTAGTCCCGGTCGGGGCACCGGATTCTGTCCCAGTTGCCCCTCTTCCAGGCCAGCTCTCTGCTGTGGCCCGGGAGTGCAGTGGAGGATGGCTCAAGTGCTTGGGCCCTGCACCCCATGGGAGACCAGGATAAGTACCTGGCTCCTGCCATCGGATCAGCGCGGTGCGCTGGCCGCAGCGGCCATTGACGGGTGAACCAATGGCAATTGGAAGACCTTTCTCTCTGTCTCTCTCACTGTCCACTCTGCCTGTCAAAAAATTAAAATAAATAAATAAATATACATATTAAAAGGCAGAGAATGTTAGACTGCATTCAAAAAAAAAAGAGAAACCACTATTTGTTATCTATAGTCAACCAATTTCATATAAATAAGAAAATATGTTACAAGTAAAAATATAGGAAATGATATACCATAGTAGAATTAATTAAAACAAAGTTGGAGTGGTTATATTCATAGTAGATTCCTAAGCAAGAAATATTACAATGAAAAGAATATAAGACCAAAAATTGATAAAAGAACAAAGAACCAGTGAAATCAAAAGATGGTTCATTGCAAACATGAATTACACTGATAAATTTCTTGCCACATTGATCAGGGAATAGTAAAAGAAGATACAAATGACCATTGTCAAGAATGAGAGGGTGCAGTGCTAACAGTCCTACAGATATAATAGTATAATAACTTTATGCCAAAAAATGTGGTGACCTGGATACAATGAACTTACTAAACAAAAGACAAAAACCACCAAAACTCCCTCAAGAAGAAACAGATAGGGGCTGGTGCTGTGGTGTAGCAGGTAAGGCCACTGCCTGCAGTGCTGGCATGCCATATGGGCACCGGTTCAAGTCCTAGATGCTCTACTTCCAATCCAGCATTTCTGCTATGGCCTGGAAAAGCAGTGGAAGATGGCCCAAGTTCCTAGGCCCCTGCACCCATGTGGGAGACCAGGAAGAAGCTCCTGGCTCCTGGCTTTGGATCAGCTCAGCTCTGGCCATTGTGGCCATTTGGGGAGTGAACCAGCGGATGGAAGACCTCTCTGTATCTCTCTGACTTCTTTATGACTCTGCCTCTCTGTAACTCTGCCTTTCAAATAAATAAATCTTTTTTTAAAAAGAAGAAACAGATATAATAAATATTCCCATAGATACAATTAAATTGAAAGTATAATTAAAATGTAGCAAACACCAGACCTAAATGACTTCACTAGAAAATTTTATCATATGTTCAAGAAATATTACTATCAATTCTATATAAACTTTTAGAAATTGAAGGAAAGGGGCATTTCCAAACACACTCTGTAAGAATAGTGTTCTGTCACTCCCCCATAAAGAAAAGAAAAAGACATTCAAAGAAAGAAAACAATAACAGGCTAATATCCCTGACAAACACAGATGCAAAAACCCTCAACAAAGTGTTATTGAATTGAATATGACAATCTTCACAAAGATTAAGGTGTCATGACCAAGTAGGGTATATATCAGGAATAGCAGGTTGGGTTATAGAAAATTCATCAATGCAACTCACTGTATTTATAGAATAAAAAAAAAGGAAAAACCAAATGAAAATCTCATTATATGGGAAAAAATGGCATTTGACCAATCCAACATTCAGTCATGACAAAAACTCAGTTAATTCAGTTTAGAAGGAACTTTCTTAACAAAAGTTATCTACAGTTAAGCACACAGTTAATGATGAAAGACTGAATGCTTTCTCTCTAAGATCAGAAACACAGCAAAGATGTCTACCCTCATCTACAGTTAAGCACACAGTTAATGATGAAAGACTGAATGCTTTCTCTCTAAGATCAGAAACACAGCAAAGATGTCTACCCTCACCATCACTATTCCTCACTGTACTGGAGATCCAACGAGAGCAATAAGGAAAGAAAAAGAAATGAAGCCATCCAGATTAAAAAGGAAGCAATAAAACATTCTTTATTCAGAGATGATGTAATCATCCAAAGAATCTATAAAAATTATTACAACTAATAATTTAAGCAAATTTTTATATATAAAATTAATGTATAAAATCAACTATATTTCTATACACTAGCAAGAAATAATTGGAACTGAGGGTTCCAAGATGGCAGAGTAGGGAGGGAGCTTATTGCTGTAGCCCAGGAGAAGATAGTTTAAAAAAAGTGGAGATAGTGTAGTCTCAGGGAAGAGTTAGGGAAAAAACAGCACAGGAAACACTACCAAAATTAGAGGAATATGGTAGACCTACGTGGAGGGCATGGGCGCCCACAGCTCAGGACTCCAACAGCCAAGAGCCTACACACCAGCGCTGGAAAGTGAGGTGAGACAAGATGGCAGTAGCCCGGGCCACTGGCGGAAAAGCAGCAGGAAGAGCCTAGAGGAAACGAGGCTTGAAGCCCCAGGGGGGAAAGTACACCAGCCTAACTAGAGGAGAGGAAAATAAAAAAAGGGACAGTACAGACACGATTCTCTCTCTCTCCAATCACAAGCTGATAGAGCAGGTTCCATTTTGGACATATGTAACAGCTGTGCCAGCTTGTGTCTGTGCCAGGCAACCAGCCAAGCAGAGACTCCTGACTCTGGTGGGGAGAAATAACATGGGGCTAGGAGCTTGTGACTGTGTGAAGTTTCTGAACTGGGACTGTGGGGGGGTGGGTATAAACTGAGGGTGTGTGGGAGAACTCATGTTGTGGCTGGGACTTTGAGCAGTCTCAGTGGGAGACGCCACTCTGGCTGCTCCACTTCTGATCCAGCTCCCTGCTAATGCACCTGGGAAAGCAGCTGAGGATGGCATCGACGTGGGAGACCCAGAGGATGATCCTGACTCCTGGCTTTGGCTTGGA